GCCCAACATTGCGTTCTTTTATTCCACTTTGACCTCTCTTTCATTGTTATTCTGTCTATTTCTGTATATCTGTGTTGTTGTCCAGTTGGAATTTTAACCCCAAAATGGCGGCCGCACTACCGAAGCGCCACCTAGTGGCAAAATGGCGGCCGCGCTACTGAAGCGCCGCCTAGTTGCTGTTACCCAAAAAGCCTCAGAGTTTCGCCTCTTGGTCTTCTATACAGGTGCATCTCAATAATGTCATGGAAAAGTTCATTTATTTCAGTAATTCAACTCAAATTGTGAAACTCGTGTATTAAATGAATTCAATGCACACAGACTGAAGTAGTTTAAGTCTTTGGTTATTTTAATTGATGATTTTGGCTCACATTTAACAAAAACGCACCAATTCACTATCTCAACAAATTAGAATACTTCATAAGACCAATAACAAACAAATTTTTGGCACGTTTTTTTCGCCAAAAGACGGTCAAAAGCACTGCAAGCCTGTGAACAGTGATTTGCAAGCGAAAACAACCGTTTAAAGAACTGCAAAACGGATTGACTGCATTGACTGTCTTTACATTTATTTTGAAAAGATGAAGCTCGCGATTATGGTAACGCCCACATTGTGTATGTGTGTGAGAGAGAGAGAGACAGCGTCACATCACATCACATCACATCACATCACATCACATCACATCACATCACTGTGTACTGCGTGACCCTGTCTCTCTCTCTCTCTCTCTCACACACACACGCGTATTAAATACGTTTACACACATGCGTATTAAATAGGAAAAATACAGTGCATGCATAATTATTATGATATTCTGATTATATTTTTTCCAAGCACATTTTACCAATTCCAAACAACATCAATCTTAATAACCACTATTAATCTTTTATTTAATCACTTATAATCTATATATTATTGTTCATGAAGGCTGGAAGTGAAAAACGCCTTCTATTCAGGTGTGCATAAAGATAACATCTCGAGATGGACTAAAAATGAACTCCCAAGACTTACTGCCAGATTCTGGAAGATAAATTCTTCAAACAGTGGTACAAGAGGATGTGGTGCTGGTCCTTCAAGAGTCACTCTCAACTTATCTGTCTATAAAGCCTATATATATATATATAAGTCTTCAAGTATTTTACTACACTTTAGTATGTTAATCTTATTAAGTAGGGGTCATTTTTTAGGATTCTATACTTAACCTAAGTTTGAATATACTGTATGAACTGATTGCCTGTTAGCTCGGAGAGCTTTATTTTCCCTCCTCAATAAGTTTTGTCAGTTGTTTTGTTTATTGGTCTAATTCTTGTTTCTTGGGTTGCATTAGTTAGTCACTCAATTAATTCTCTTGTGCTTTGTTCCCCACTTCTGAATTATGTTGTATTGATAAGGAGTTATCACAAAGTAAGTCTGTTTAGTTGTGCTATCTTACAATCAATATATAGTAAATGTAAGTTAAAGTGTCGCCGATGTAATCGGTTAAAACTTGGTGGCGATGAGGTCTTAAAATGTATGGGAAGAGGCTTTAAAAAGGTCTTAAAAGGTATTAAATTTAACTCCATGATTCCTGTATATACCCTGTAGAAGGCCACTGTGATAATGCCACCAGAGCAAACGTGACAATAATTAAAGCTTTTGCCTTGACACAGCTAAAAATAAATAGCTGACATATGTATCAGAAGAGCTTTTTAACAAATATTTAGTAAATATTCAATTTCATCCACTTGACCAGTTCACAAGACTTGAAACATAAATAAACACATTTGTATGATGCAAAACGTATGTAAACATACACATCATGGCACAGGTACTGTATTTTTTTTTTAATCTTTTTGAAATTAAAAGATTCAGACATTTACATTCTTTATTTTTGCCTGTGGATCAGATTATTTCTACACCACCCGTTTCAGTTCATTCAGATCAGTTGAGGTGTTTACATATACTATTTTTGTTCTGATTGAGCCATCAATCCGATTATTTGGGTATGTGTAAACATAGCTAATGTATGTGATGTTTTCTAGCTCAGATTAACACCTGCTGGTTATTCTCACAGTTACCAGAGAAGATTGAAGCCCAGGACCATTTGATTGGTGGATGGGTGTTTCCTCCAGAATGCAAGTTAGGAAGTGAGAAGGAAAGTTCTGTGGAGAGACTAAAATGTTATTTGGATCTCCTTAAGAAGAAGGTGAATCTCATTTTTTTCTGCTGTGCGTTACATTTATCTTATTCAGACATGAAATAGTTTAAGTAATATTTAAAAAAAACATTTAAATTAATCTATTAAATTATTCAGAAGTAACAGTAAGTGCCTGGCAACGATTAATCGCGATTAATCACATACAAAATAAAAGTTTTTATTTATATAATATATGTGTGTGTACTGTGTATAATTATTATGTATATATAAAGACACACACATACATTATATATTTTGAAAATATTTACATGTATTTACATGTATATACTGTATTTATATTCATATAATTTATATATTTCATATATAAACATAACATATATTTTTCTTAAATATATGCATGCATGTGTGTGTTTATATATATACATAATAAATATAGTACACACACATTTTATGTACACAAAAATTTTTTTTTGGATGCGATTAATCACAATTAATCGTTGCTCAGCACTAATATAGTAGCAGAAAAAGGTAATATTTCAAATAAATGCTTTTGTTTTTGAACATATTAAACTTAATTATAGAAGACAGATTCTATCATGGAATAAAAAAAAAAGTAATTGTAATCTTTTATCTTACAATTCTGACTTTATTTTGCTCACCATTGTGAGTTAACATCTGACAATTGTAACATTTTTAGTTTGTATATTTTTAGGCACACCTAATTTCGTGTAAAAAAAAAAAAAGGGTCTGTCTCACACATGTATTTTGCCCAAGAATAGTTTTTGTACATTTTGTAACATACCATTTCATATTGTATTCATAAATGAAATGCATGCAATCACATATTACTTTCACAAAATGAATATTTTGGTCCTAAAATGCATTTCATGATTGAAACAGACCCTTTCGTTCACCAAAATCAAGTCACCATCTGGCCTGGCCATTGGAAGCACCAGGAAAAAAGGAAGCACCAGTCAAGACAAATTGATTTATGATTCAGTATTGATTTAGCAATACATGCAGATTTCAGAAATCACTTGGTTGCATCGGGCAGGCAGTAATATAAAATATCAATTTAATAGTAAATTAATGAAAATGAACAATAGTATGTAGTGTATTACTGCATATTCTTATTGGTCAATCACAAAAAGTAAAATTCAGGTTCTTTTCAGTTTAATTAGATAAAATATCATAATTTCTATCTTTATTTGCTTTTTATTCAGTGGCAGGCAGCAGCAGCCTGTGAGAGCTCCGAGGAGAAGCACAATTTGTGTGAGCGTGTGTTTCAAGGCGGAGAAGAGGAGTATGGTCTTCTGGAAGCACTAAAGTTTCTAATGCTGGCCAAAGCTGTTGAGCTTCATCACAACATGACGGCAGATCAAGAAGTGCCTGTGTTCTGCTGGCTTCTTTTTGCCCGCGACACATCCGAAAACCCCCAAACCCTCCTGGCCAATCACCTGAGCCAGATCGGCTTCAGTGGAGGGGTAGAACAGGCAAGTATGATCGATGACACTGACAGACTTACAACTCTTGAAGGCTCCTGCTTTAAAATACAATTTAAATGTATGTTTGCTTTGTTTGTTGTAGGTAGAGATGTTTCTACTGGGCTATGCCTTAAAGCACACCATTCAAGCCTTCCGTCTGTACATGACTGACACAGAGGAATTTGTGACACATTACCCAGACGACCACAAGCAGGAGTGGCCCTGCGTGTGTATCGTCACAGAGGACGATCGCCATTACAACGTCCCTGTCAGGAGGAGCGTTCAACACCAGCACAGAGAAGATATCACGATGACCTAACAACGGAGACCTCAGAGAACAAATCTGGTCTACAAAGTGGCATGATGTTTGTTTTTTGATAGTGATTTGTTGGTCATCCAGTGAAGGGAATTTACAGCAATTTACCGAGATCAAATTGCAAGCAGAAGTGCTCAGGTTTTTCCTCTAAATGAATCACAGAACTAACATCAGCCTGTCAGGAAATGCTGTGATGATTAACACTGGTTCAGAAAGGGGGAAAAAAACCCTTACTGCCTTTTTACTTTAACCCTGTTATTTTTTGTGTTATGCACTGTTGGAAATTGCGTTGATTTACATTGTCAATGTAAAAAAAAAAGTTTAGCACAATAATTTTAGAGAATTTTAATTTAAAAGAATGTTTTGTGGGTAGGCTATAGTATGGGAAATGAGATAATGGTCTACTTACTAAAGTTAATTCGTTACATACTTCAAATTTGCGTTGTTTCAAAATATAAAAGAAAATTTAGAAAATAGCCATGAGCATTGATTGAAGCATTTTTAAACAAATTCTGTCAGACATGTCGGCCCATTTTTCTAAACATTATTTATAAAACTGAAAAGTTTTCCTTTTTCTATGATTTTATAACTATTTAAATGAGGCTCTACACAAAATATTGTCAATTTAAAATATTTGGAGCACTTAAAGAGTCTTAAAAAAAGCCAGAATAACTTATGTTTACATGTTCTTAACAGACATTAAAAGCAACAATAACGTGCATAAATCATGTTAGCAGGCAGCTGGCGATATAGATGCCAACAAGAGTTCAAAAAAGCTTAATATTTGGCTTGTTGTGGAGTGAATCAAGAAGTACTTGCACTTTTTATTTAGATTTTTTTTTCCCTGCTCATCTTAATTTTTGTATATATGACAGATTAACGCGGATTAATTTTATTGCCAAACATAGAAAGTTATACAGTATTGGTTATGTAAAATACTCATCAAGAACTGGAAGACAAAACCATTTGAGGAAATATGAATAAAATATTCTGTTCTATGACTATTCTATTCAGGCTCTGACTTTAATATGCACAAAACATGAGAAATGCAAAAAAAAAAAAAGCTTTAGCACAACATTTGTTTAATAAGCATAAAGCATTCATAAGTGCTGACATATGAGCTGTCATTCAGTTAGACCACAAGCACCGAGTAACACGAGCACCTAAAGTAAAACAGTACCGCAAAACTGCATTCCATTTAATAATTTGACAAAATAGATATTGAAAGTGAAACTTACAGTAAAATTCTAAGATCTGGAAAATAAAAAAAGAAAATGGATTCTATAATGTGGTCCCAGCACAAAATACTGGATCAGATCTGATCAGAAATGATCTGTTCATGCTTTCCCAAAAGCTCAAATAAAGAGTCTTTTGTACATAGAAGTGATCTTCAGACCTAAATATCTCCATAGTAACATTTGCAAAGTATACAAAACCTGAATTTGTGCAGTGAATACAAAAATAAATCAACTGACATACACAATCAAATCTAGTATGTGCCCCATAGCAGTAAAATAAATCCCTCTTGAGCAAGTTATAATACACTCAAAGTGTAACTATTCATTGTGCGTCTCAAGGCAAGAGGAAACGGACGGTATGTCTCAGGGTCAAAGTTCAGATAATAGTTCAGTCATTAAAACAATTTTTTTAAGCCTGTTCTTGGTGCAGTCTTTCTGCAAGGATTTGTTTTCTGATTGTAATGGTCTATTTTGGCAAAAATGTTCACAGGCTGCAGAACAAGAACTTTGGAAGACATCTGTGTAAATATGCCTCAGTGCAAAAAGTGCAGGAGTGCAGTTGATGTAGACATGCAAATCTGCTCATTCTACCCCATACAAGCATCAATCAAGCTGGCAATTCCACTGGGGTAATGGAGAGATTGTAGAAATGTAAAAAAAAATGATAAAGTACTAGTTGCTTCTTGTCGTCAAAATTCCAAGACATTGTACTGCACTTCATCTGCAAATGAAAGGAAAACATGTATCTTCCACCTATGTTTTTCTTTCCATGCCTTGATTCATTCATCTTCCGTTTCCACCTGCTCATTCTCAGCCTCTTCAGTGACATCTAACTCTGTCCTGGGGGTGACTTCATTCATCGGGGAAGAGTTGTCCTCCACAACCATTTCTGCTTCTGGGGTTCTCTTCTGAAAACAGACAGTGAGACTGATAAATACTGCAGAAGAGATACGAAACAAGGATTTTAAAAGTCTAAAAGCATGTTTTGGTAACACTTTCGATTAGAGAGCACTATTCACTATTAACTAGTTGCTTATTAGCATGAATATAACTAGCATATTAATGCCATATTCTGCATGAACATATACCCTACCCAATACCTAAACACATACAGCTATGGTCAACATTTTACATACACTTTGCAGAATCTGCAAAATGTTAATTATTTAAGTACTGACCTGAATAAGATATTTCACATAAAAGATGTTTACATGTAGTCCACGAGAGAAAATAATAGTTGAATTTATAAAAATGACCCTGTTGAAAGGTTTACATATGCTTGATTCTTAATACTGTATTGTTACCTGGATGATCCACAGCTGTTTTTTTGTTTGCTTGTTTTGTGATAGTTGTTCATGAGTCCTGAACAGATAAACTGCCCGCTGTTCTTCAGTAAAATCCTTCAGCTCCCACAAAGTTTTCCAGCATCTTTTGCATATTTGAACCCTTTCCAACAATGACTTTATGATTTTGAGATCCATCTTTTCACACTGAGGACAACTGAAGGACTTACATGCAACTATTATAAAAAGTTCAAACACTCCTTGATGCTCCAGAAGGAAACACATTGAATTAAGAGCCTGAATTTGAACTTGAAGATCAGGGTAAATTGAACTTATTTTGTGTCCTGGGAAACATGTAAGTATCTTCTGTAGCTTCTGAAGGGCAGTACTAAATAAAAACAAAAACAAAAAAAAAACATGATATTTACAGTAGGTCAAATAATAAAAATGTACACATCTTCATTTTGTTCAAGCTCTTAATGCATTGTTGTACCTTCTGGAGCATTAGCGACTGTTTGAACCTTTTGAATAATAGCTAAGAGTCCCTCAGTTGTCCTCAGTGTGAAAATATGGATCTCAAAATTATAGTCATTGTTGGAAAGGGTTCAGATATGCAAAAGATGCTGGAAAACCAAAGAATTTGTGGGACCTGATGGATTTTTCTGACAAACAGCAGGCAGTTTAACTGTTCAGGACAAACAAGGGACTCGTGAGCAACTATCACTAAACAACAACAAAAAAAAAAACAGTGTGGAATATTCAGGTAACAACACAGTATTAAGAATCAAGCATTTGTAAACTTTTGAATGGGGTATTATTATTTTCTCTTGTGGACTATATGTAAACATCGTGAAATATCTTATTCAGGTCAGTACTAAATAAAAAATAACAATAGCATTTTGTATGATCCTAACTGTAATTACTACAATAACTACCTTACTATCAATTAGCAGCAAATTAGGAGTTTATTTGAGGGAAAACTCTTAGTTAATAGCGAATGTGTAATCTAAAGTGTTACACCTGTTTTAATAATTGTTTTAGATTTAAGAGAATAGCACACACAAACATAACAATATCACTGGAATTTTTAACTTGAATGTGTAAGGCGTCCGGTGCCATCTGCTTCCAGATATTTTATCTGTACAACAGTCCATTATGCTGCTTGATGTTGCAAACTGATTTGTTATCATATTACTTTAATTTAATCATAAACACATAAACAGTTAACAGCATTATGTTTACTGCACTTATTCTTATATCTATAGAGCCTAATGAATCTGAAGTCTCGCATATTCACAGAAAAAAGCTTAATTTCACATTGAAAAATAAGGTAGATAGGACACAAGCTGTAATATTTCTGCAGAAACCATTGACTTCTGCAGTCTGATTGCTTCTCACCTGTTTTCGGTATACGTAACAGGTAGCCACTGCGACCATGGTGGACTCCCCCATGAATCCTGCTAATAAAGACCCCACTCCCAGTGTGGCACCATGCACTCTGCACAAAGACAAACCCAAAAAATCCTTTAAATAACAATTTTCTGAGCTTATTTTAAAAGTTGCTGCAGCAGTCTGCATTAGCTGAGGAGCGGAATCATAATGAATTCACAAAATGCAGACAGGGATTTGAAATGGTTTATTTTTAGACTCATTAAAAATTCAGAGGCAGTATGAGAGCTAATTACTTCACAAATCACATACTGAGCAGAGAAGCACATTCAGAAGATATTTCAATGAGATGCATTTAGCATGTTTGTATATTCCTTCTGTATACTAACCCCATGTAAGGCAGCACCAGAAGGCTGGTGATGAGCACAGCGATGCGCAGAACTGAACTAGGTGCCAGCACACAAGTTCTCTTTAACGTCATTAACCAGCCCGTCAGATGAGCTCGAACCGTAACTGATAGAAAAACACAGACACAAGGTCACATAGATATACAGTAATGCACTGTAAATCATATAAAGTCATATGCAGTACAAAGTCAAGTAAAAGGTTAAAGAAAATACTTTATGGTACCAGGCACAGGGAAGAAGGAAAAGACTCGCAGTGGAATGATGCAGAGCTGTGCGAAGGCCATATCCACCCCAATGACATCTACCAGGATGCGTTCAGAAACATGAGGCGTCCAGAATACAATGAAACACATCTGGAAAACACAGACACAGGTATGTGCACAAATTACTTAATTTATCAGTTTTGGGTCAAAGGTTTACACCAAATATACATGTATACACTGCCACTGAAAAATTTGGGGTCAGCAAGATTTTTGAAAGAAATCTCTAATGCTCACCAAGACGGCATTTAATTTGTCATTGTAAAAACACCATTTGAATATATCTTTAAAAAATGTCATATTCATGTCATGGCAAAGCTGAATTAATCCAGCTTCCATTACTCCCGTTTTAAATCCCGTGATCCTTCAGAAATTATTTGAATATGCTGATATGGTGCCCAAGTAACAGCACTGTTAATACTGTCACTTCTGATCCATCTAATGCATTCAAAAAACACATTAGCCTCAAACTCTGGAACAGTAATGTATACCAAATGTTAACAAAGTGAACCTTATTGTAGTGCCATTAATGAAATAATCATTGCATAATATGCATTATGTCTAAGTGTACATTTTGTTTCATTCCTTCATTACTCTTAATCTTAGATGTGCCAGTCAGTTTTGACTGTATTTGTTATGAGACTCTTCTCATTCCAGCAAGACTAGATTATGCAATGGTCTCACACTAAGCCTGCTTGACGCCCTGCCTACGGGCATTCCTCTATTCTGGCACAATAGAGTCTGACAAAGGCCTGGCATGCCTGTTTACAGTGAAAGATCCTCCACATCTGACCAAGTTAAAGGCCATGGGCTTGAGTCATATAATGTGCACTTGGCTTTGACCTTCAGTGCTCACTCATACCACAGTTCTAGTCACGAACACTTTTACACTGAAATCCAATGAACGGACACTGACGATGGATGTGCGGGTGGATGTTTTTGCATTGTCAAAAACAATAAAATGTGTAATGTGACACAGACCAGCCCATCAATGCATGCTTAACCTGGGCTATAAAAACAAACTACCAGCATCATGAGTTTGCAGTTAATATCAGTTTTTTTTTTTTTTTTTTTTTAAAGCTATTGTCTTTTATGGGAATATCAATTTAAAGATAATCTAGGAATTCCTGTAGACCTGTGCACTTGAAGCAGCAACATTTTTGTATTTTTCTTCCATTTCAAAACAAAACAAAATAAAATAGAATAAAATAAAAATTTTGTGCAATTACTTTTGATTGTTCCATGGATTCTCTGCCAGATTATTTGATCTGTTGTTTTCTCCACTGTCATTATGAAACAAGAATCAGGAAAGGTGCCAAATATCTTCAGGCTGTTTTGAGACATCTCCACTGGTGGCACAGGTGTGCAAGATCTACCCAAGTTTTTCTTAATATCAATTTTATTCGATCCTCTAATCCATAATTACACAAGACACACCTACAAGTCATGTCACGGAAATCAAAAACAAACAGCAACTGTGACCCATTAAACCAAGCTCTATAGTTTGTTTTTCTGAGAATTTTTTGTCCGTTTACAACATGGATACTTTTTTTGTTTGTGATAAAGTAAAACCTTCACCATATGTCTAACATCTGCTTTCCAATAACCCTTGTGGTGTTTTGAGACACAAACCGCCTTAAGGTCAGAGCAGGATAAGTAAACAGAAAAAAAAAGTTTTTTGACCAACGTGGGAACGGAAATCAGTGTTTACTGATTGTATGGCATGTGAAAAACGCACACCGTTTTCACGTGCAGGCAAAGATCTATGCTTTATGTTGGAACTTGAACAGCTGAGCTAAACAGACTCAGCTTTGACATACCAAATGAAACTAAAAACATTATGAAAATATCCTCTGGGTACATGCATGTAAATCAGGTATATATATATATATATATATATATCTTTTTTTTTACTGTAGGTGACATTAGATTTTAAGCAGTGACAACTATGCCATGATACTGCACACTTCAGTAATTATATATGCAAAATTTCTGACACTTTACATTTTTTGAAACTCTTTGAAATAATTTTTTTATGCTCACCAAGGCTGCATATAGACTAATAGATCTTACCGTTAAGGAGAGGAGAAAACAGCAAAGGGTGAACCTCTTGATATGTGAGTTGGTGACTGTCAGACCACTGGCTAACTTATTAGTAGGGTTATTCTGTTAAAACAAAAGAAGTACAAATACTATTATTTATTTATCCTCCAAATGATACAGGTTAAAATAAAAAGCTTATGTGGAAAAACACTTTTTGAAAAGACAATGTTATATATTCAATCCATACATAAAACATGCTCATCTGGCACCATCCATCTAAATCAAGAAAGATGTTTTCACACCCACTATACAACTATGTGCATTAACAATGAAAAGCATGTTGTTATCTTTCTTGTCTACAAGAAGAACCCTGAGTACTAGTGACGGCAAAAACATCATTTAGATGTTACAAAACAAGTTTCCCCAAACTCACCAACGCAACCATAAAATTCAAACCTAATGCCTCTTATACCACACAGAATGCTGATACTGGTTATGTCTCTAATCAAAAGAGGCAAAACCTAAACATGTTGAATCAGGCACATGTTAATCTGACTGTTGTAGGTCTTTGAATGGTACATAATTACAGGTCTACAGGACGAGGCATTTGATTGTGAAAACTAGTCATCGGGTGTTGAATAAAAAACATTCCAAAGCCTCAGGATAAACCAAACAAATAAAAGTTACTAAGGTCTTAAATAATTCTCTTACCAAATAACAAAAGGTAATAATATACAGTAAAAAGTTGGATAGGAACTACATTTTTATATTAGTTTGTCAATGCTGATAGCCTTGTGGGCAGTGCGCCGACATATAGCATTGTTGCGCTACGGGCGTCCCGAGCTCAAATCCCAGCTCCAG